CTGCCTCGCACACAAGGACCCGAGTTTGATCCCCGGTACCACAAAAAAAAAATATATATAGATATATATATATCTATATCTATATATAGATATAGATATATAGATAGATAGATAGATCCAAATTTAGAAAAAAGATACATATTTCTATACACCAGTAGCTGAATGGGAACATATATAATCAGGTCAAAGCCCAAGAGCCTGACATGTTCACAGCTGGCAGAGGCAGTGTGCGATTCAACTCTGGCCAAGATCTCCTTGTACCCTGTGGTGAATAGAGCTGCAACATGAAACTCAGAGCCATGATATGACTCCCCTGCATCCAAAGAATGGCAACAGTTACAATAACTGCAGGTCTACGCACAGGTTATGTGTAAAGCTGTGTCTCTCCACTGTCAGGAGGAATAGGGCCTGGACCATGGTGCTGGCCACCTAGGGACCAGATACACAGTACGTCCAATGTTACCATGATATATGTCCTCCTCATGAAAAGACATGGTTTTAGGCCAGGGTCACTGGTAATAAGGACAGGAAAATACAAAACCATTACAGAGGGAGGAGTGATCCCAGAATGGGAAAAACCACAAATCTCTCTCTCAAGGTGAACCAGTAACTAAAGGTTCAAAGAGAAAAACTAAGACACAACACAAACACACACACACATTTAGCCATTCCCAATGACCTATTCCCAGAATCTATTCTCTAATCCTGCAACTCTAGGGTGTGCTGGATTAACTGTTAGGTCACAAAGGAAAAACACTTCCATCAAGGAGTACACAAAGTCCAGTGTGCCTTACTATTTATAAAGTGATCACCATGGTTACTCAACCTCAGAGACCAGAAGGCAAAGAAAGAGTTACTACACTCCAGGGGGAATAAGCCCTGGTCACCGTGAACAGGCAGGGTCTCTGCTGCCAAGATGGGCGCATGAAGATTTGAGATCTAGAATCTTGGGCTCCCTGGGATCTCTTGGTTTCCCACACCTAGTGGTAACTATGAACAGGCAACTGTAACAGCCTAGACTAACTAGAGAGGAACAAGAGAGAGCTCAGACTCCTTCACACAGCCCAGCCACCTGCTGGCTAAAAATAAGGGAACTCTAGAATGGAGTGTGGAGAAAGAGATGTGGCTCCCCTCCTATAGCCTCATGACAAACTGCAGCAGGGGGCCGCCGCATATTCCAATAGCACTTCTACCCACTAGCTACTACCTGGAAGAGTTGGCAGCAGAGCAGACTGCCTTGGGCCAGAGGCCTAAGCAGAAGAGCAGCCTGCACCCCATGCTTCCAGAGTCCCTTGGCCCACCCCAGCCCAGGCAGCTGATGACCTCAGGGGCAATTCCCAAGACAACCCCCATCGTGGAGTCTTTGGAAGGACAATTTCAAGGTGTGTCCTTTAGCCCTTGGGGGACACCCAATGAAATTGAGTACCAGCTGCCCCCAGCAGGACCCTTCCACATTTAACTCACCCTCTCCAACATGCCTACTGGGGATCATCCACAATTAAATTTAATACTTGCACCAAGTCCCTCACTCAGATTTGGGGGGAGAAAATAAAAACAAAGGTTCATGTACACAACGAGGCACGTCTAAAGATGGTTTCTGCAGGGCTGTTCAAAACACTAAAA